AATAATATTTTAAACTTTATATAAAGGACAATTAACAGTTTATGTGTTTTTTACTTGTCTCAATCAAATAATTGAAAATTTTGTTGTTTGTTTATGTTATTTTACTTGTTTATTGTTTATATATAACAAGAAATAATAAGAAATTTTATGTGAGTTCTAAACTCGTCCTTATCTACCCTTAAACATGAGGAAGATAGGAAGAGGGTTTTGCATTTTCATGTATAAAGAGGGTTTAGATTCTCAAAATCCAAACTGATATGAGTTTTGGAGTGGGCATTTGTTGGGAAGTTTTAAGAAGGCGGGTAGAATCTAGGATTTTCAAAACCCTCGCCAAACCTTCTCCATCGCCAATTCGCCATCCCTATTTATACCGTTTAGTAAAACAGGATTTACAAAATGCAGCAATGGATTCATTTTCTAAGGTGGGTTCCACATGGACAGCCTATATGCTATATTTGATGAAAAACCCAAATCAGCCATGTCAAATTAGATCATTCTTGGTGTGCCCATATCAAATTAGAACAGCCAGTGATCAGTGATGGTGTGCCTATATCAAAATTAAATCAGCCGCATGGTGAGTATTCACAGCAAATTAAATCAATCATTGGTGTGCCCTATGTGATATGTCCAAATTCATTTGGGGTCAGAACAAGAAGAGAAGAAGAGAACCCACTGATAATCTTTCTTTTATCGTGCTTCCAATTTGACTAATTAAAATGAAGCGGGTAAGAAGAAAGACCGTAAAAATTAATCACAGTTAAAGAGTGATATGTTCTCTGATAAGATGTTGGACGCACGGGATTTAAGGATATGTCTCATTTGCCATGGATCCCTTTCATGTGAAAGGTACCTCTGGTGGGACCCTTGAAACATCATTCTCTCCGGACTCCACCCCATGTGCAAGATTCTCATTCTTAACCTCAGAGAAACCTAATACAACAGCTCTATATTCACCAAGATTGGTAGGCTTTTCCAGAATACCTTTTTTATACTCCACACAGTTCAATATAATTTTGATATATAGGAGTTACTGAAGTGCAGTAGAAAAATAAAACTATGCATTCTCTTCAATCGCTGTTAAATAATCTATTTATCTTATTATTCAAAATAACCTGTGCTATTTGATCTAAGTTGATCTCAACAATCGGAACCGTAGACATATATTGAAAAGTTCAGGAACACATAATCCAATGGTGTGAAACTGTGAATCACAATTTTGTCCAAACCTTGATAAAGGAACCAGGCTCAACGACCACCCCATCCCGAAGGCGAAATCGGATGGGCTCCCCACAATCCACAGAGCGCCTCATGAAGATGTGCTGTGGGGAGCCCATCCAAACTCCCCTGCTATCTGCCTCCTCCCTTTTGAAAAAGAGGTGGAATCTGTTTACACTTTACAATAAAAATTGTCTCAATACAATTTCAATTTAAGATATTTCATCATGAGATTGGGACCCATAATGCTACTCAACACAGATCATAGGAATTTTTTTTTGTTGTAAACAGATCCAGACCGTTAATAAAAGTAGCACTGCTTAGAGTTGTGTAGGCTTGATGGGCTCTTGGGCCAAGATTGGCCAAGATTGGCATTGATGGGCTCAATGGTGAGTGTTGTTGGACTTTCCTTCACTAAAAGAACTTGAAGGCTTTTCATATGGAGCATATCTTGCAAAGCCCTCTCAATGGGTACTACTAACTTTGGGCCCATGGGCTTAGCAGAGATCCAAAGGTTGGACTTAAAATCCCAATATCTAATATAGAACACGGGTGTAACTTGTAAGTGAGTAAGCCCAACCTCGATGGATTCTTAAAGTGGGCGAGCCTGACGTATGAACTCCTTAGATTGATTGCAAGCCTGAGATCTAACCGGAGTCCAAACCCAATTGAAAGGTCACAAAGCTGAGCAAAATTATTTTGACACCCTTTTGGTTAATTGAATCAATGATGCTTCTCAGTGATCTAGTCTATTATAAGCGATAAATCGGTTGTATCATCATAAATTCATTTGACAACATCCTTTGTCGTTTAATCTGAAAATGAGTGATGACTACTCACTAGAGAGTAGAGCCATAATTGTTTGAAGGAAATAGGTTTGAAAAGTCGCCACCTGTATACATCATTGTTCATTGATAAATTTCACATAAAAGTTGCCACGTGTCTAAGTAAAAAAAAAAAAAGAAAAGAAAAATTGGGATCACCATTTAGATGGGTCCCACATTAATTAAACGGTAGTTAATAGTAACACTAAGAATCAGCATAAAGCAATGATGCCAATTTATTAATTGTTACAACTGCCAATACATATCTATATTATTCATCAATCAGATAGTAAAGCAATTACCTAATCTTTTTCCAATCTATGAAGGGAGGGTGTTTTAGGTGAAGTGGACCCAATTCATCAATACATTAGATACGTGGCAAATGAAGGGACAATTAACCTCATCATAGTCATGCAGATATAGAGGCAGCTATTTGTTTAATGGAATCTTATGGTCTATTGGCATTTCAGGTTAAGCAAAAGATTCGAGTTGCTGTACAACGGTAATAGCAATAGCATTACCCAGTTAGCATTATTGAAGGAGTAGGGCAGTGGCGCTGTGCAGTACTGAGTACTCTCAGAAATGCCAAAACCCAGTGGATTTAGACATACTCGATCACATATTCACATACTCTGGAGTAGCAGAGGCGAGGACAATGAAATGAATGGTCCACGCGATTTTCCTGTACATTGTTAAAGAAACCAGGAAAGGTCCCAGCTCGGTACTTGCAAAAAGCTTTCGAATTTGAACGTAACGAAGCCTCCAAAGCTGATGAGGGTCATCCGGACCCGGTCATGGTCCACACGACTTCTTCGTACGTATTCACCAGCAGCTAGCGGGGAAAAGAGAGCGAGAGAGCGAGAGAGAGAGAGAGAGATGGAACAGCTAGTCCGGCCGGCCTGGCCTCTCAAGAAATTGTCTGTTTGCAATTTCAATCAACTTTTTTTTTAAGTGGATATAACATTACCCAGCTCCAGCTGTTGAATTGGAGCTGCTCAGAGCATAAACCAATGTGGAAGCGTTTGATGCAACGCGTACGCCAATCTCCAAACTCTTCCAAATTAAACCCATTTATCAGCCCATTCCATCAATCTCTCCACATCTGCTCTTCTCAAAATTGACAGCGATGTGACCCCCCCTCCCTCCTTGAACCGCTGAACGTACGAGTATAATATATATTTATATATATATAAAGAGAGAGAGATTCCATAACCATCATTTCTTATCTGTTCTCCGTACGTTCAAACTCACAGCATTTTTGAATTTCAAGAAAGAAAACTAATAAAACAATCAAGTTTAGTGTTTAGAGCCACTGTCAAGTGTCTGTTACCGGTAATTGCAGTGCCACGGACGACTGCAGCAATTTCTCTGTTTATGTACCCAGATACTGTAAGAGATCATTGATTAATGATTACCGGAGGCGGAGCTTGGACGGAGCGCCGGAAATTCAACTATTTCCTTTGGTTTCAGAGGCAAAATTGTTGCTCTGAGTTTGGGTTGTTGAATTGAAATGGGAAAGTTCAAAAACCCTCGATCTTCAAGGTATGTAGACGGAAATTTGGATTGGAGAAGGCCTGGACTCTGGAGTCTGGAGTCAATCAAAAGCAGTAGGACTGACTACTGAGGGCTGGCTGAATAGAGAAGCCCGTTCAGGCAAAATCCCTTTTCTTTAGCCCAGGCTGCCCAGCGTAGAGGGATGTCCTGCTGGCTACTCCAGAACCCAGACCTTCAGATAGAATTCTACTGGAGTACCGGGTTCCTTGTTAGAAAGCAAAGGAAAAAAAAAATATATCTGTTTTGATCCGAAAATCTTCAAAGAAGTAGTATTACTCTTGATCCCAAACGCTATCTGAGAACCATATATAATATAGTACCTAGTACGTACTAGCAATCTGCATTTATTTGAAACTATTCACAATTAATATGTAGGTGACATCATTGTGTGCAATGGATGTAGCAAAAATTCCATAATTCTCTTCTCCAGTCGCGGTTAAAAACGGAAGAAGAAAAAGAAGAAGAAAAATCAACCGTGTCTCTTCCCCCGTTCAGGTTCTTTGCTTACAAGAATGGGTGTTTCTTATCAGTCTCTGGACTAAAATCAAACTCATTAATTAATGAGCCATGAATCTAAACCACCTAATTAGTTTTAATAACTTGACTTGGATGATTTTTGCCTCGTGACATCTCCAACTGGTGGTTGGTTGTCTGTGATGGACGATGCTGACAAAACTTGATCCAACTCACTAAAGTCTAAATAGCTAGTTACCTAACCCAAACCAAATTCAGTTCTGGAATCAGGCTCCTATATGGTTGAGGGTGGACTGGAGTTGGAGTTTGGACATTTCTCAACCCAACCCGAATCGAATTCCCATTACTACTATACCAGACCTGGCCCCCCTGTTCCAGAAAGGGACAATCTACGCGCACGGGAGGGGCTAGAGAGTTAAATCACTTCCCAACCCAACCGACCCATGGCGGAGGGGCTCACTGCTCAGAGAAACAAGCGACTGGCCAAGCTTGCTTCTTTCTCGCCCAGACAAAATGGTGGCCATCGTCCCAATTAATCCCACAGTCGGTCATCTCCACCATGAGATATATATGAACCAACACATACATGATGCAAGTTCAGTTCGTCGAACATGGATGGGCCTGGTCCCTCTCTTCTTTTTTTTTTTCTTTTCTTTTTAATTTTTGCTCAGACTTGGTTTCTTTTTCTATTGACGTGGTGACAGATAAAGTGCTGAAGAAATTCTTGTCCACCCTCCACGCAACACCATATGAACTCAAACTACTGGGTAGAGTAGAAGCTTAGAAAATGATTGGAAGGAGAAAACCATAATAATGATGATACAAAAGAAACAGAGAGAAAGTCAAGGCCGCATTTTTCTATTCTGTAATTAGTGTTAACCCAGACAAGAAACCAATAACAATAGTAATAGTAGTAGTTGATTAATATTAAAATTTTCTGGCCAAAATCAGTATCATATTCTATCATGAGATTACTCATTAGAAGCTAGAATCAACTTCCTAATGGGGCTCAAACAAACACAGTCAACAGTCACCACTCATTCTGCAAAATCCATTTACAGAATAAGAATTCATTTTAGTTCACACAATTCTAACAACATTATTTCACGACTTCTGTTGACAAGAAGGATTAAAAAAAAAAAAAAAAAAAAAAAAACAGAAAAGGAAAGCCCAAAGGATCACCAACTCAAACCTTTCTCTGTAGGATCTCTCCATGTACTGTCAACATCTATATGTGTGTTCAAGCGAAGAGGGAGGGGGTTTAAAATCCAACAAGAAAAGAAGAAGAAGAAGAAAAAATTGGTGGAACTAGGTGACGAATTTACAGTCTAGATATGCTGGAACATATCAAAACCCGCTCCAGTTAGGTCCTCAGATAGTGACGTCAATGGAAAGCTACTGAAATCATCTGAACTCTGTGTTTGTTTTTGCTCATCTTGCCATGAACGTAGCTCCAATTCTTCGGATTTGATCCCGTTGAACTGAAACTGGAAAACAGGTTCCAACCTGGTGTCAGAAGAGTCCCAACAGAAGCTTGCATTGCTGACCATGTTGTTCATCTGAAATTCTGCCTGACTGCTCATGTTGCAGCTGTTACTAGAACTTTCCTTTGTTTCGTTGTAGAATAAGCTGCTCACCCTCGAAGTTGAATTGTTTTCGGAAGTATCTGTCTCAGTCACACTAGTTAATTGGGGCATCGAAGTAAACCCAAAATCAAAGGTGGTCGCCAAGTGGGCCTGGTTGAAAGGTCTGAAATTTTGGTGATGTTGAGACACGAGGTTGGAATTTGTTCCAACAGGATTGATACCCGTTTGGAATTCAAACAAAGGAAAGGGATCAAAGATTTGTTTTGTCAGAAATTTTTCTTCTGAAGTTCCATCGAGTCCGGCAACATGGTAGCCCGAACTGTTAACGGAAAATGCCTGCCCAAATTCCTCTGAGCTCTGTGTGCGTCGAGGCCTTTTAGGCTGAGACGGCTGCAAGGAATCTTCTTCCCTACTTTTCTTGTCATCCCGTAATTCAGCTTCACACAACGGCTTGTGGGTGTTTGGGTCAATTCCTTGTTGCTTCAGTTTCTTCTTCAGGCAAGAATTCCAGAAGTTCTTTATCTCATTATCTGTTCTTCCAGGTAATTGTGCTGCAATTTGAGCCCACCTGTAATTCCAGTAAGAAAGAATTAAAATTAAAAGAAAAAAAAAAGTTCAAAATTCATTTAAGTTTTGTTCTGCATCGAGAAGTATATATATTTTCCAGAATCACATTCTCGAGTGTCTGGATACCTGTTGCCGAGGGCTTCATGGAGACTGATTATCGCATCCTCCTCTTCCTGTGAGAACATTCCTCTCTTAAGATCTGGTCTCAAGTAGTTTATCCATCTGAGCCTGCAACTCTTTCCGCACCTTTGAAGACCTGCAAGAAGAGAAGCTTAGAATTAGTGAATTACCAATTTACTACACTACACTACACCATGGATTTCCATGGAAACTAATTAAGGAGGAGACAGCCAGATGATTGATTATTACCTGCTTGTTTGGGAACTGAACTCCAACAGCCAATACCAAACCTAGTGATGTGGTTGAACAACTTCTCGTCCTCCTCAGGAGACCATAAACCTTTCTTTAGCTTTTGTTTAAAACAACAAGAATGGCGCCCCATTTTTGAGATGACGCCGATGATGAGGATATCGATGTCTCTTCTGGGAATTCAAAGTAGCCACTTGCTGGGAAGGCTCAAGGGTTTATACATGATGAAGTGAGAGAAAGAGAAGACGGAACACCTCTTTATTGATTTTGCGTGGAAAAGTTAAGAATATTTGTCCATGATTTAAAAGAGGGGGAGAAAAGTCATGCTTAGGTTTCAAGTTATTAGAGAGAGAGAGAGAGAGAGAGAAGAACCCAGGAAGGTGAAGCAATCAAGTGGGATTTACGCAAGTCTGGTGATGCTTTGCATAAGAAATGAATTGGATTTTAAGATATCTCTATCTCTAGAAAAAAAAGAAAAAAAGAAAATGAAAACAATCATAATGGAGAAGAACATCTCTCTCTCTCTATCAAATGTAAAGTAGAGTTTATTAGTGAGAGTGAGTTGTTAGCTTGGCTTCAATAATTTAAAACTTGTTTGAAAGGAATTTTGTGCTAAATACAGAAAAGAAAATAAATTGTCGGCCGACACCAACGGCCCGATACGCCGTCGAGCGTAAAATGGTCCCGGATCCCGGATTTGCAATGCTAGAGCGTGCGTCAGGACTTGCGTCTCATTCACCCGTATCGCCCAATCTCAATATGTGGGCTTGGCGTTCGTCAGATCGTTGACCACTACCCGGATCAGAGATTGTTGACCACTTCAATATCTTGTACATTACTCCCCATTAATTGCCAATAGACTCTCTGCTCCAAGGCCGTTAGTGACGTTTCTCACAAGGCACTGATCATCGATCATCAAGACTCAAGCACCAGGAAAGTTAAAATGTGCACGTGGTCAATTAGTCATGTTTAGGAAGTAGGACAGGATCAACTACTGATGGAGTAGGAGGACTGTAGGATCTCTCCTCTCCTCTCCTCTCCTCTCCTCTCCTCTCCTCTGGCTCTGCTTAGAAAACAACGAAGAGTAGTTTATGCAACTCTTTAATTTGATTTCTTCCAATTGCAGTTACAAACAAGGTGTGGAAATTGAGAGTCATCAGTCATGGGATCCCACCTTATTCTAAGGACAAAATAAATTTCCAAGAGTTGCATACGAAATAAATTAACTCGCTGTTTACTGTAGATGTGGGCCAGGGCCAATGGACCATACCTCCCGAGGCGTTGAGATTCAAAGATTCCAACCCAATTGCTTTTTTTTTTTTTTCGTGTGTGTGTGTGAAAAATATTTTTTATTTCAAATTTCAATAGGAGAATAGTAGAAAGAATACCATCACCCCGAGACGAGAAAGAAATCAGAAACGTTATAAACGTTTTCTATCCTATTCCTTCAACAGTAAGAGACGAGACGAATTCACATTTGAGAATGAAATTAATCGTGTGTTTCCTTTTCCTGTGCAAGGTTTTTTCTTAAAAAGGCGAAAGAATCTCAAGTATCAAGTATCAAGACGGAGCAACAAATTGTTTGTATTTAGAGATCCTCTAGGATGTAGAATCCACCACAAGATGGAAATGGAAAACGCTGTTTGGATTCCAAAAATAGCTTCATCACATTCACATCAATTGAATGGGATATGGAACAGAAGGGCCCAATCCTCATACGGATACGTATTGTGTCGGGTACCATCCATGATCCATCCCGATAAAACGCGTTTTCTGAAAACTCGAAACAAAAAGAGACATGTTCTATCGATTCGATGCGACCGACAGCCACAGGCGACAGAATCAGAATACTGAATACACCTTGGAGTGTATACGTGTTTTTATATTCTTGGATTTACGTAGCCAGCTCGATACACCTAATCCGTTCCGGCATCAACCGCTACCAGAACTGGGTTTGTACTTTGTACAATCGGGATCACGTGACATTTGTTCTATGAACCGTTGGATTCAGATCGTCTGGTTTGATGAACCGTCCGATTGGTGTCAATGGGGGCGTTACTTGTAACGCCGTTCCAAATGGCAGATAATCAATCAAAACCCTCCCTTCTTGCTATTATATATTGGGAAATCGTAAGTACAGCTCATCTAAAGGTACAGATTTGCCAGAGCGAATGATTAAGATATCGAGATTCGAGGGGGAGTATGTCCCAGTTGTGGGTAGAAATGCATTTAAATATCTTGCTTCTCTGTATTTTTCATTTGCTCATCCATCATCATGTTATGTTATTCGTACAAGAATTCGTAAAGCAAAAGATTAATGGGATTTGACCCAGTCACCCCTGATCAAGGTGTTACGTGGCCAAATTAATGGCCACGTGATAGACCATAAGCATTAAATTGGAGTTTGACGCAACCATCCAAAGAGCGCTGTAATTCTATTATTTATGGAGTGTACTTAAGTAAATAAACATTTAATTAATAGGTTCGTTAACATCGTTAAATCAGCCTGATTTCTTTTTCTTTTATTAATTAATTTTTATTTACAATGTTTGTTGGGTATGCAAGTTTGTCAACAAATTATAGCAGCCTTAATTATTTGATGTCTGTCGTTTATCTATTTTTTCTGGGTGGGGAAGGGGGAAGATCTGATTTTCTTGTTTATGCACGTTATTTTCGTGTATATTGAATTGGTTTACTTTACCAAAAAAATAAAATAATAAACATTGGTTTGGAGTTTGGACCGTTCCGGTAAAATGGAGAAAGAGACTTTACGAGAGGGGAAATTTTCCCTCGTCACTTGTGACTTTTTATCCGCTTATTTTTGTTCTTAGGGTGTGCACGTTGGATCACACGTGAAACATTACATGTTGATTCTTTGAAAGTTAATAAAAGTGTTTTATTCCAAACGGGATTTCCTACTCACTTTTCTTATCCATTTTCTATCTGCCGTTGAATTATAGTCACACATCTCTTATCTTTATTATAAATTGAGACATATATAGTTGTAATTCATGGTGGATAAAGAATGGGTAAGAAATGTGAGTAAGAAATCAGGGTTCGTTTTACTCAGGGTTTGATTGGGAGAGAGGATTTCAAATCAAATTAAATTATACATATATCGATTTATGATTTGATTTAATTTCTAAAATTTAAAAAACTAAACAAAAACCATAAATTAGAATTTGAAATTATCATAAACCAAATCCGATTCGGTTTAGCAGTATGGACTGAATAATGGATACCCCTAAGCTAAACCCAAACTTATATACATTGTCCCTCAAATTGTAAAGGTGGTGCACCTCCAATAATCACACAAAAATTACATGCTTAGAAAGACAAAAACACCCCTTTAATTTTAATAGATCATTATCTTAGTGATTGCTTAGGCTTAGCTCCATTGCCTCTTTCCTCTTAAATCTTACTTAACACCAAGCTAAAATTAGAAACCATGGGACAACTAACCATAAAGAGTGGATCAACGAAGGAAGGCTTCACGCAACAAAAGTGAGGGTGCATCTCCCATCTTCAGTCCATTACAAGACAAAGTAAACTCGGGCCGGGCTCTGCAGTTTTCTACTTTTTCTAGTAAATGCATATCTGATCACCAAGAAGAAGAAAAAAATCGTGTCTTTTCAAAAGGCTATACATCGAACATGGAAAACAAGACCTATAAATGGGTCTAAGGTTTTTATAATAACAACTTTTCATGTTTTAGGCATCAAGACCAGCCAACCTATCCAAATATATAAAAGAAAAAAAAATAGTCATATAAAATGGCCCATCACACAATGAGTCCTAAGGATAAGCATCGATCGGACTGTGGTTTTTTGTTTTTTAGAAATAAGCAAAGGCAGCACCTTAGCCGAGCTAATGGGGTATAACCTCTTCAGAGCTACGAGTATCTTAGCATTTCAGATCTCCACTCTTCCATTGACAAGACTTCCTTGTATTAGAATTAGATAGTTGTTTGTGATTTGAACAATCTTGGACTACTTTCTACTCCTTGTATAGTGATGAGGTTTATTATGTACGGCTCAAGTTCGTAATGTCATGTATCCCGAAATGAAACTAGAATGTACCTTTTGACACTAACAAATTTTGACTGCAAGATATAAATTCTTTAGATGGGGTAAAATATTTGCCTCCCCCCCTCAAGCCTATGGGCTACGGGTGAAATTTTTCCGGGTTAGGATATTGTCAAAATTTTAATGAGCCCAACCCCGAAATAGTATAAATTATTAACTCGGGCCAACGAAAAGGGGAGGAAAGGGGGGGGGGGGGGTATAGCCCTTTCCTAAGCTAGAAATACTTCAGTTAATGCCCAAATCAAGCGGTTAAAATAGTTTTCTTAAACTGATTTATGTTATAATTAATCAATGTTTTACTTGGGGTATCTCATCTGAAATATAGCAATTCAAGAGGCCTAGACCCATCTAAGGGTCCTGTGTTCCCAAACTCAAGACAGCAAGGCACCCCTTTGAGAAAGATGCCCTTTGCCCATTAATCAGGGTGGTCCATCTCCTCTCCTTCTCATCATCAAGGACAGAGTGTGTCCAAACATCCACCTAAGGGAGAAAAGGTCTTTCACTTTTCTCCCTAAGTCTAAACTCATTTGGATCGACTGTGTTGGAACAGTGAGTGGTGAACAGATTAAAGGCTTAGAGCTAACATATAGATATAATAGAGAGGAGGCAGGTAGGGGATCCCTCTATAACAGATACTTCTTGCCCACTTCCATGTTCCACTCTACTCTATTCCAAAATTATATCAACCGTTATTTAAGTTCACCAGAAACAAGTAAAAGACGGTACTTGTCCCAATAAGCCTGTCCAAGTGTCCACGTAGATAAATGTTCACGCGTCAAATCTCATTGATAGACCAACGACAAGTCTCATGTGCCCAATAGAGGCCCACCAAAGATGGCCTAACTGCCTAAGTAGTACTATAGATATTGATAAGTCTGGAGAGCATATAAGGCTGACGGCCTGACCCGATTTGTTCAGGCTGATTCAACGTGAGTTGATCAGGTTCTCAAAGCAAAATACAAAAAGCTGGGGCGGAATGGTTGTCTACAAGTCATTCTAAAACCTTAAATTAGTCCTGTTTGAGATAATGTCCCTGCCTCTGTCAAGCGTCAACTTCTCACAATTTGGGTTTATTTACCTAAATTTTTACACGAAAAAAATTGGAAATTTTAAGCTTCCAATTCTGTGGTTCGGAAGATTTCATGTGAATTATTGTTGTTTATCACACCCCGATTCATTCTTTTAGTTTTTAAGGTAGGGCCTTAACGCCTTAAGCTGCATTTGGTTTGGGGGAAAATTTTGGTGGGATGGAAGGAGAAAGGGAAAATGGGTGTAAAATTGTTATGTTCCATTGTTTGGTTGTAAAAAGGAAAATAGTGGAAACATATCAGCCCTAATAAAAAAGAAATAGTCTTTTTAACCTATGGTTGAACCAGTTTGTTAAACTTTTTTTTTGTATGCCATTATCATAATTAAAAAATAATTTTTACTTATCGCACTTGTTTTTTAATATGATGAATATATAATATTTGA